ACAGATGTGCAGGCAGGCGGGGAATCGTTCCCCCCACGGCACCCTCCACCGAGGCTGCAGTCGTGAACACCAAAGAAGCGGAGGTATGTGGGACCGATCCTGAGTCCCCCTCCGTGTTAAGTAGGTTTCCCTCAGTTCCGCTCATGATCTTGCCAGATTCGGAACGATAGGAGAAAGAGAGTTCTAACAATATGTTGGATCCCCAAGCATCGAGAATAAATCCACGTTTTAAGAAAAGCAAAATTTATTTCAAAGCGTTGAAGACATACTCAAACACGTTCTTTGTTAGAACTGGGGATACACAGTTAGGTCAAGCATAATAAAGGAAATTCAAACAGCTACAGATCCAATGAATAGCATTCCCGCTGGCGGGCTCATGAAACGGTTGCGCGCCCAGTCCATGGGAACCAGGCAGAACATCAGACAAAACACAGGTGCAGTACTCATGAGAAAAGCAACAGGCAAGCATTACAGCATCTTCTCCCCCACACAACCTCCAGCAGTTATCTTGTGCATTCCAACGCAGGAGCAGGAGGAAAGAAAATAAGCCGGGTGCAACAGGGAAAGGATATGTACACAGAGGTCACAGAAAACAGAATGGCAGCTTGCTGACAATCCCCCACCCCCACCTGGGGACTGGCATCCCTATAAACAGGTGTGGAATAGGTGATGATTTTAGTTATATGCACTTCTGCTAAGTTGTGGCAGGGAAGGGAACACTGTGCCAAAGACTTTACGGAAAAGTAGATTTTTGAGGAGGGATTTCAAGGAATTGCGACAGGTGGTAGCAATCCAATGTCCTGGAATTCAATTCCAGACATAAGCGGCATCAAAAGAGACAGGCTGGATTTGTTTGTTTCAAAAAGGTGAGCAATGCTGACAGTTGCAGGAAGTATGTATTGGTATATGTTCTATGGATTAATTGGACAAGATTTTTGCTTTAAAAACCAAGTTTTAGTATAAAAAGATTGAGGCTGTAGGTGTCATTTAGAAGAGCCATTTTCTCTTCTGCCTTGCATGCTGTTTAGTGATGGAGTTTTCACATAAGGAAATATTTCTTCCAGAACTGAATGAGGCATCCCATGCCTCTTACATTGGCAAATGAATGCCTCTTCCACTGTCATGGTAAAAGAGGCATCTCCAGCTATTTTTTAAAAAAAAATTTTTATTTTTTTTTATTTTATTTTTAACCTTTGACACATTTAATGAGTGAAGCCCAACTCAGTAAGAAACCCCCCACAAAGCACATTATTATAACTATTTAGCGTACGGCAGAGTTAGAAGGAAGCATATCATAATATAAAATACATAATCAAGTTGATACAATGGGTACGCAGACCAATTGGGCAATCAAATCCCCTTAAAAAGAAATCCCTAAATTTTCAATCCACTCAAATCACAGCCCACAAACTACAGAACACACAAAGTCTAATCACCTGATACAAACAATAATACCTTTAATGAGCTGTGACTCTTCCTTAGGTGAGTATTGTTTTCTCTAAGCCATAAATTAACACTTAATCTAAGGGTGCCAACTGCCTGGAGGGAAAAACTGTGCTGTCCCTTTAACAGAGGCTTTATGGGATGCTATTTATGTCTTCAGGTACTCATTTCCACGCACATTAAGACTCTGGGAATGAGGGAGGATATTTCCCCCCCTTCAGGCCTGTTACCAACCCTAATGCAGATACCTCTCTGAAATAAAATAAGGAGACAGAAAGAGAATTTTGTCAGTTGGCGCCATTAAAGCACAATCTCAAAGGAGGAATCCGGGGGGGCGGGCTCTGAGGAGGAAGACGCGGCAGGAGGATGCCTTGGCCGAGGGCTCAGTCCGGGTCATTTCCAGCTCAGGGAAGGGGTGTGTGTGTTCAGAGCAGGAGGAGGGAATCCTACTGCTCCCTCCTGATTCTCTCTGTCAGAATCTGGGGGGTGGGGAGGATAACTTGGATTGGGAAATTCGTGACCCACAAGGCTCACCTGCCAACACCATGTCCACAACCCTGGTTGTTGTGTGTGTGGGGGTGTCTAACCCCTTAGAAATTACTGAGTTGTTGGATTAGGGGACACCACCTTTCCCTTTCAACCCAAATTAATCCTACTGCCAGAAGGATTTGGGCTCCAAAGTGGTGAGACCCCCAACAACCTCAAAACAGCCTGGACTGGGGAGGGATAAGGGTTGAGAAATATCTCTCTAGAACTGCTTGTCAGATAAAAATGTTTGTGAATAATACACCTGTAGGAGAGAGACTAGTTACACCTGTAGGAGAGAGACTGTACATATCCATTACCCTCTAAACTTGTCTATTGCTTCATACAATTTGGGAAAGGAACTCTTTTTGCCAGTCTTGAAGATATCTGAGTTAGAATGGCAGATAACCTGAAGTAGGAAGTTTCAGAGAGGAGGGGAAAAACTAAAAAGTTCTTTCTTTGTGTGACTACGTTCTCAGCCTTTCTAAACTTCTAGTGCCAGGGCCAGCTATAGGAAAGTTTCACCCTTGCAAGCATTCACTGAGGAACATGAGGATCGGACCTGTGCCTCAAGCTCTGGCCACACATTGAGCACTGAAAAGGTTCCTTCTCTGGGAAGAGTCCTTGATGTTAAAGGAACGATCAGCTGAGTCTTCTTGCAGCAGAAACCATTTGCCATCCTTCCTTTCTTCCCCTTGGAATATTTTTGAGGTTTTGAACATGGCTAAAGCTTGTGTGTTCAGAGCAGGAGGAGGGAATCCTACTTCTCCCTCCTGATTCTCTCTGTCAGAATCTGGGGGGTGGGGAGGATAACTTGGATTGGGAAATTCGTGACCCACAAGGCTCACCTGCCAACACCATGTCCACAACCCTGGTTGTTGTGTGTGTGGGGGTGTCTAACCCCTTAGAAATTACTGAGTTGTTGGATTAGGGGACACCACCTTTCCCTTTCAACCCAAATTAATCCTACTGCCAGAAGGATTTGGGCTCCAAAGTGGTGAGACCCCCAACAACCTCAAAACAGCCTGGACTGGGGAGGGATAAGGGTTGAGAAATATCTCTCTAGAACTGCTTGTCAGATAAAAATGTTTGTGAATAAGATACCAGCTGGTCATACTATAGTTACACCTGTAGGAGAGAGACTGTACATATCCATTACCCTCTAAACTTGTCTATTGCTTCATACAATTTGGGAAAGGAACTCTTTTTGCCAGTCTTGAAGATATCTGAGTTAGAATGGCAGATAACCTGAAGTAGGAAGTTTCAGAGAGGAGGGGAAAAACTAAAAAGTTCTTTCTTTGTGTGACTACGTTCTCAGCCTTTCTAAACTTCTAGTGCCAGGGCCAGCTATAGGAAAGTTTCACCCTTGCAAGCATTCACTGAGGAACATGAGGATCGGACCTGTGCCTCAAGCTCTGGCCACACATTGAGCATTGAAAAGGTTTCTTCTATTTACACACAGGGACTGCCTTTTCCAATGGTGACTGATTTCTCAGGTGGTATGTTTTGGGAAGGGGTGTTATGTTACAGTGGAAGGCCTAAAACTGTTGCTTTGAATCTTATCTGAAAAAAAACAAACAAAAATGTTCTTACCTGTAACTTCCTATCTGCTGCTTGCAAAAATTCCCCTTCTCCTGCCATTTAAACTTAATTATGACCAGTTTGGAAAAGCGGAGACATAAGAATTGTTGTGCCATTCCCTCAACTCCTTCCCAGGAACAGAGGTACCCCTGCCTACCCAGGGTCAGTTGTTTACAGAGAAGATTCTCTGTTTCAGATAGGTGTGCTGTTTTTGGCAAAATATGTGTGTGCAGGGGGAGAACTGGTGCCCATTTGGGGAAGCCACTGCACTTTCCTAGGCAGGAGGTGCACCGGAGCACTGCTTTTCTCATCCAACAGCAGCTATATATCAAAGGCAGACAGATCAGAACCTGCTGAAGCCATTAGGACATCTTGGCAAACAGGGATTCCATTTCCCTTTGATGTGTGCTAGAAAAATTTCCTCTGCTTTCATAAGCTCACATCAATGCTTGGCAGAGCAGGGCTCCGCCTCTGCCAGCCCCCCCCCCCCAATCAGATATCTCCCTGGGGGCATAGTCTTGCAGCCGGCCTATCAGCCTTGTGGTAGGTATGGCCTCTTCCTCTCTCTTTAAATGTACGTCCCATTTGCTTTGGATCTTTGCAAGCCCTTTATTCTGTAATTGCTGTCCAAATGGGTGGGGGAGGGGACATACTGGTGTACAATGAGTTGCAACTAGGTATGACTTCAAATTTCTCTGTATTTTCAACTATAATATTTTCAACTTTTGATTTCACTTCTCTGTAAACTCATAATTCCGGGCTTTTGCACTTTTTTTTTTTTTGCTTCCGTGCTATGCATTTTCTCTGCAAAATGTACACATTATTTCAGTGGGGTTTTTTTGTGCAGTAATAAATTGACATTATGAATGAAATGTATGTTATAAAAATTAAGTACATTATAAATAGATATGACTACTTTATGGATGACATATAAAAACTGCATGCAACACAATTAGATCTATAAAACCAACGGGCCCCTGATCCGGATAGCCCAGGCAAGCCCGATCTTGTCAGATCTTGGAAGCTAAGCTGGGGCGACCCTGGCAAGTACTTGGAAGGGAGACCTCCAAGGAATACCAGGGCTGGGACACAGAGGCAGGCAATAGTAAACCACCACGCTGAAACATCCAAGGGTGGCCAGAAGTTAACCATGACTTCCAGGCACATAGACACACACACTCACCAAAACTCCCCCCCCAAAATGGGCAGAGCATTTGCCAACAAAATACAAATATCAAAAGAAACTAAATAGGCAAACATTGCTACTCCCAACTTGCCAAGGCTCAATATTTGGCTGTGTTTTTTTATCCTCTCCTCTTCACCCGAGGCTGTTTGCGCATCCGTTGCAAAGTGAGGCGTAAGCTGCAGAGTCCAGGGTCCAAATCATAAGAAGATTTTTAACTATTCAAAGGTATCACTTCACCAACATGCATTGATCCTTCTCCTTTTAGCTGGAGTCCAGCATCACCTTGACATGTGTGGATGGGAAATGGAACAAGCAGGTTGCCTGTGAGCCCATCGACTGCAGCATCCCTGACCAGTACCATGTCTACCCGGCATCCTTCAACTGCAGCGAGGGAACCACATTTGGCAAGAGATGCTCCTTCACATGCAAATCCCCAGCCGTGCTGAAAGGTAATAAGGAAAGAGGGAAATCTCTGGTCCCCAATGGTTCTGGTGACTGGGAAATTAGCATTCAGCAATCTTGCAAGTATGTATGTATGTATTTATTTATTTATGGGGGTTTTATTCCGCCCTCCCCCAAAAGGGCTCAGGGTGGATCACAACAAATCAAGTCAAAGACTCATTACAATGAAATCACATTAAAATCATAAAAATAATAAACAATAACATTGGTAGCAGCAAAAGAGGAGGAGGAGGAGGAGGAGGAGGAGGAGATTGATGATGATGATGATGATGATGATCATCATCATCATCATCTGATTGGATTTATACCCCGCCCTTCACTTGGAGTCTCAGAGTGGCTTACAAACTCCTTTCCCTTCCCCTCCCCACAACAGACACCCTGTGAGGTGGGTGGGGCTGAGAGAGCTCTTGACACAAACTGCTCTCTTTCAAGGACAGCTGTGCCAGAGCTTGCGACTGACCCAAGGTCACATCAGCCGGTGCAAGTGGAGGAGTGGGGAATCAAACCCGGTTCTCCCAGATTAGAGTCCACACACTTAACCACTACACCAAACTGGCTCTATTATGGCCAGGTTGGAAACTAAAGCATGCATGGGAAGCAAAAGCTGGGTAGCTGGTGTGCTGCAGTTGGTGGAGTTCGGATGTCAGAAACCCAGATTCAAAATCCTAGGAGCCCTAGCCACCTGCTTTCCTAAGGTGGGTCTGTCATGCTTTCAGGAAAACCTTGAAAGGTCTTGCTAACTCGAAGTGTCAATGCGTTGGATCTTCCAGCTCCCTTCTGCTAAGTTGGATTCTACTACACCATCCCACTTTGAACTAGTGGAGGAAGACTTTCTCCATCAAAAGATAACTTAACAGAAGGGAGGTAAAACGTTCCAGTCCTATGTGTATTTTAGTCTGTGAATTCCTAGCCTCATAAATGTTTTAAGGTGAACAGAGCAGTTGTTTTTCACTTGAGTTGGAAAGCTTTTACCTGCTTATGGTGAACCCCTTCCTAACCTAATATGTTACCCCTTAAATGACCCCTTCCCATTTTAATTACCCAGCCGTGCTCAAATGCAGGAGCTAAAGAGGGGTCTTCAGGATCACTAAAGTATGGTAAGGTTTGAGAACAATGTTGAGAAATCTGGAATATTAATCAAAAGAAGGCAATACTGGGCGGATTATGTGGGTGGGACGTGGGGCAGGACAATTTTTTCAGGGCAACCACCGCTGGCACATTCCCCCCCCCCAAAAAAAATGTATCAGATTTTGAAAATAAGCTTTCATATTTTCATGGTAGCTTTCATGTCTCAAATTAATTCATAGATGGGGCCAGCAGTGTCTCAGGTGGGGCAGTGCACCCACTGGCTCCACCCTGGCTGTGGCTCTGAGTGGCACAGAGCTAATGGCTGTGCCCTGGCCTAGCCTACCCTGCATGGTCAGTGTGAGGCTGAAGTACCACTAACCTGAGCTCCTTAGGTGAAAGGCAGGATACAAATATAATGGTATTAACATGAAACATAAAACCAGTGCAAATGGAGGAAGGCAGAGATTGTACAATTCTAGATTTTAACTATAGAAACTTGAGCTGTACAGTGCTCAGCAAAAACTTGATTGCAATGGCCTTTAAACAAGTTTAGGAAAGGCAAAACAAAGTACTTCTTCACACAACACTGAAATAAGTTTTGACACTCACTGTCACAGAACATAGTGATTCTATTAGCTAAATAATATAGTTAAGCGCCATCAAGTTGCAACCAACTTATGGCAACCCTTCAGGGGGTTTTCAAGGCAAGAGATAAGCAGAGGTGGTTCTGCCTTTGCCATCCTGTGCATAGCAACCCTGGTCTTCCTTTGCAATCTCCCATCCATATGCTAAAAATGGCTGACCCTGCATAGCTTTCAGGTTCTGACAAGACCAGGCCAGTCTGGGCTATTCAGGCTGCTTCTGCAAGCTTAGGTAGTTTAAAAAGGAACTTAGTCAAATGAACTGGTATTATGAGTTTGGAGATCTGAGGGTGCGTTCAGATGGGCAGCTAATCCCGCCAGTTGTCCAGCTCTAATTTGATCCCGATTTTTTTAATCCGTCGTTGCATGACCAGACAGCCCCCCCCCCCAGTGAATCGTCTTACTGCACGCTGCCTCTGCTGTGGATTGTCTTGACGGCGTCCACTGAAGGAGGCATGCGTGGTGGGGTTTTTTTTTTTAAAAAATGTTTGCCCATGTGCATAGGCGTGACATCGCATCCTTGTTTATCCGTGCATGCGTGGAATCGGGATTTTTAAAAAATGGCGCCTGTTCAGGATGGTCTGACGTCAGACCATCCCGACGGGAGGATTGCGTGCTGGAACGATCAGATGGGGAAAGTCTGCAATTGGCCCGTTGGGAACCAAAACCTCCAGATTTTAAGTAGTATCTTTTAAGTACGGCTCCGAAGCGCAGCAAAATGAGATGCTCACGGAAGAGGGACATTTCCCAGATGTTGCTGTCTGGACATTACCTTTAAATCCACCAGGCACTCATGCCTCACACAGATCTAAAGAGCCGTCTGATCGGGACCTGAGCGGCTAATTTTATTACAGTGGTCAAACTCAAGAAGAACTCTGCTGCAATGCAGCTGGCTTCCTCTCTTGAATTAGGCAGACCCAGGGAGCTGGCATGGCATAGCGGTTAGAGTGCCAAATTAGGACGAAGTCAACTGGGTTCGAATCCCTGCTTTGCCCCTGAAGCTTGCTGGGTGACTTTGGACCTATTGCAACCTCTCAATGTACTGTACTTCACAGGGGTATAATTATGAGGATAGAGTGGTGGAGGAGAGAATAGTGAGATAAGCAGCTTTGGGTTCTGCTTAGGGATGATGATGATATTATTATTATTATTATTATTATTATTATTATTATTATTATTATTATTGGCTTTATATTCTGCCCTTCACTACCCAAAGGAGTCTCGGAGCGGCTTACAATCTCCTTCCCTTCCTCTCCCCACAACAGACACCCTGTGAGGTAGGTGGGGCTAAGAGAGCTCTAAGAGAGCTGTGACGGCCTCAAGGTCACCCTGCTGGCTTCATGTGGAGGAGTGGGGAATCAAACCCGGTTCTCCAGATTAGAGTCCTGCCGCTCTTAACCACTACGCCAAACTGGAGAATAGTGGTATATAATATTTTTTTAAAAAGAATAAAACCTGTAGGCAGATGGGAGCTATTGAGGTTGGCTGAGTGGCCTATTTTCACAAGCAGCCCTTCAACTTGTTGGGCTGCACAGCCTGATGGAAAGCAAGGAGAAAACTACTGGGGGAGGGGGAGACTGCAAAAGAGGCAAACTTGGGTCAGGTTGCATGTAGCAGGAGCTTCATAAGAGGCAAAAGGCAATGCCTCTTCACACACCGCGGGATCAGCTTTTTGAACAGGGATAGATTTTGAACTTGCATCTTTTGAGTCAAAGCCCTCTGGACTGCTGTCTAAGAAACATGGCTCTGGAATTCATTTTTTATGAGCAACGAATACTTATTTACCATAGGCTATTGGTCTTCTGCAGTCGTCTACACAGGGATGGGTTTTTTTAGGTTTCTCATCCTTGCCCTTTCAACCTGGAAATCTGTGTTTCAGTTTTGCTTCTCCCTTGCATGAATCAAACCCTTGATTTGTTTTCTGTTTCCTCACACTCATCTCCCCCCTGTAAAGCATACAACATTTTACAAATTTGTATATTGCATGTATAAATGATGTGTGTTATACAGATAAATATTGCATAAAAACTGCACAAAATGAATACCCAGTGGTGTGTATCCTACCACTCCTTGCACAGAATGTGATTTCCCTGTGTCCCTTTCTGTTCCTGCAGCCCCTTCCAACCTCTGGAATGATCATTCCCAGGGTCACTGGACCAGTGCAGAAGAATACCAGTTGGGAGGGCTGGAGCAAGGAAAGACAAGGGGGCAAAGTCATTCCTCCTTCTTCTTCTACAAGTGCAGAGAAAAGCCCATGGAGGAAAGAGGTTGATTCATCCCCTTGTCCCTCATTCCAGCCCACAGACCTGCATGACTGTTCCTCCACCTGGATCCTTTGACCCTGGGAACGGCCCGGGGCTGCCATTCCCCTGCAGGGAGTGGGGGCTTCCCCGCTGCCAGTAGACACTTCTTTGCCTCCACTCAGCTGGCTGGTGGGTGGGAAATGGTGAGAAACATGGTGGAACATCAGCAGCATCCCAAAATGCTGATGTTACTCCCCGTGCTCCCAGAAGTGACATTAACACATCACTAGGCATGCCAGGGATGTCCTTCCATCTGGACAAAATCTGTACCTAATTTTGTCCAAATGCCAGAGCATGCCTGCAACCCCCTGGTGACATGCGGGTGTAATTTCTGGGTGCACAGGGAGTGATGTCAATGCATTGTTGGCAATGTAATTACAACACCAGTGCCGCCCCACCCACCCACCCCCGCTCTGGTGGTATGCCCCCCCCCCGGCGGAATGATAGTTCCAGGGGTGAGAAGAGGCTACAGAAACATGGGAGAGGAACATGAGAGAACTCTGTGAGCCTTCCATGCATAGATGGTTGGATACACACCAATACTAACGAACCTCCAAACCCAAGAGCAAAAAGCAGAGAACTGAAGCCTTAACTACAATATGAACAATTACATAAAGAAACAGAACAGGGAACATTTGCTCATTCTAAAATAGCCCAAGGCTGATGCTGCTCACTGTTTCAGCATGATCACAACTCTTGGACAGTAGTCATCAAAGCAGAATGGGTAAGAGAAGTTCTGGATGCCCAGTCACCACCAGTGACTAATAAGACTCAGCCAGCAAGCTTCTTGAGACAGGAGGCTGGATGACTCACTCCTAATTCAATCATTGATGTCATACAGGCCACTGTTTTTTAATGTCACAGTTCATCACCCTGCCGTAGCAAGTATGAGATCATCCGTGCTGGACCGCGGATACGCTGTGTGAGTCAGGCAAGAGAAAACAAAGCAGCTGGCCCAGGAGCCAAGGAGTTTTTTTTAACTGCACAAAAATATCTCGACAGCTCACAGTGGTCAGGGGAGGCAAGGGATTAGAAAGGCCTGCAAGAGGTCCTTCTCCTTCTTTGTTTTCTTCTGGTCGCAGCAAGATTTCTGAGCATCACCCCTTCCTTCTCTTCCTTCATTCCCACTGTTGGTTTCTTGTGCCATAAACTTCTCTTTAGGTAAAACTTCTAATGAAGATGATGCCACAGATGAAGATAAGCTGCTGCCTATGAGAACACCTGTGGCAATAAGCCAGTGTGCCTCTTAGGATGCTGTGGCACTTTGGGGGATCTTTCACAGTGCAGATAATTACCGAATTCTCCCGACATTCTGGGGTTCTAAATTAATTGATCTTGTCTGTGGAGCAACACCCTGAAATGCAGTGATCTGAAGAAGGTGTAATATAAATAACAGATGGATAATAATACTTGGGGTATCACTTTATAAATTATGTTAGGCCTTCAAAACTCAAGGGGAAGAGGCATTTCATTGATAAGTGAACACAAAAGAGAGCATTAATAGAGAGGCTTGCAACATTTCTGATTCAGAACGCACTGTGAGCATGACCCAAGGGCCAAGTTTTGTCTGAGCTGTATCACTTCAGACTGCAGAGGAAGGCGTTGCTCGATGCCTGAATGCTTCTCCATCCAACAAAAAAGGAAATCCCTAGAAAATTGGCATATCAGGGAGCTAGAACCTCCTGACATCTAGGTTTCTCTACGCAGGGGATCTTTTGTATAGAGGAGCATTCCAGCTAGTGGTATAGCCCAGACAGTGGTTGACCATGTAAGTGACAACTAGGTCCTGTCTTTCAGTAGGGGCAAACAGTCTAGGAATTGATTGCCTGAGTAATAGCCAGTGGGACATAGTGCTTAAAAGAGCAGACCTTTTCTTCGCCATCAAGTCATAGGTGACTTATGGGGACCCAGTGAGTTTTTCAAGACAATAGACTTACAGAGGTGGTTTGCAATTGCCTGCCTTCACAATGACCCTGGTATTCCTTGGTGTTCTCCCTTCCAATTACTGTCCAGGACCAGCTCTGCTTAGCTTCTGAGATATGATGAGATTGGGCTGTCCTGGGCATTTAGGTTTAGAGGAGTGGCAAACTAGGAGCTGGGATAACTTGGATTCAAATCTCCAATTTGGTGTAGTGGTTAAGTGCGTGGACTTTAATCTGGGAGAACCGGGTTTGATTCCCCACTCCTCCACTTGTGCCCGCTGGATGACCTTGGGCAAGCTATAGTCCTGTCAGAGCTGTTCTTGAAAAAGAGCAGTTTCTGTCAGAGCTCTCTCAGCCCCACCTACCTCACAGGGTATCTGTTGTGGGGAGTGGAAGGGAAAGGAGTTTGTAAGCCGCTCTGAGACTCCTCCGCGTAGTGAAGGGGGGTATAAATCCAATTTCTTCTTCTTCTTCTTCTTCTTCTTCTCTTTTTCCATAGAAGCTTGCTGGGTGATGTTGGGCCTGTCACATATTCTCACTGCCTACCCTACCTCACAGGGTTGTTGTTGTTAGGGTAAAATAGAGGGGGGGGAGCAATGTGGTAAGCTGCTTTGAAGCCTGACTAGGAAGGAAAGCAGGATATAAATTTAAAAAAACACACACAGAATGAAACTAGCGCCTCAGTTGGTGATGTGAAGTGGGATGGCCTTTGATTCACCAGGTTTCTCATAACCATCTACCACAACTAATGTTACCGTCTGTCCTTCACAGGAAACAACAGCAACCTGACATGCATGGAGGATGGGCTGTGGTCCTTCCCAGAGGCCCTTTGTGAGCTGATGTGCCGAGCACCTCCACCGGTTCCTAATGCAGATCTCCAGACTGCTCGTTGCCATGAAGGAAAACACAAAGTGGGGTCCTTTTGCAAATATAAATGTAAGCCAGGTTATCACGTCCCTGGCTCTTCTAGGAAGCCACGAAAGTAAGTGGAATTGCAACTAGAGATGCTGGGTCCCCCCCCCCCCCATGCGAAGGCAAAGGAACTGAACGAAGGCCTCAGAGGGGGCTGGGAATAATTTCCAAGGTAGGGAGTTCAAACTGAATTCCTACCAATACCAGGCTGATGAAAGATTCCTTGAACTAAAGTCCCAGCTTGAACACCTTACCAGCAGCCAGTTCCATCGGAGAAAGGTTGCAACTAGCATGCAATTACTGTAATGTTCATGGCCTGCAAAACTGCTTCTGGATGATCCCAATACTGGGGCCGGTTTCGGCCAAGTTCTCATTTGTAAAGCAGAAAGGTGTTGACTGAGTGCTGAGTTGGTGTTTACGTCTGCTGTGGAAATTGTTACCCACTTGCTACCTGGTTGCCAGCTTGACACAGGCCTGCATATTTTGTATCCATCCAAAACATTACTAGTTCAACAGCCTTTGTGGTGAGCTAACCTGCAAAGAATGATGTATGTTTGTGTCTCCAAAGAGGATGTTTGAAACACTGACACCCTCCCTGTAGACAACAACCACAAATGCATGGCAAAAGAAATCAGCATCAATTCCTGGGGTTTGTGATTTTCCACTTTAAAACTGATTTTCCACTTTAAAAAGCCACAGAGGGGCACACAATATAAATGGGTAATGAAATGAATAAAGCGTAAATTGAAAGACAAGCAGAAGCAAAAGCACAATACAATGAAACTGTCATAGAATGAAGTGCTTGGGGGGGGGGAGGGGACAGTAAAATCAAGGCACTTCGATAAAAAACAGCAAAATCAACCCAGAAAAGTCCAGGAAGAAATGTTTAAAAGTTTTGATTGGGTGCCTGAATGAAATTAACGTAGGTGCCTCATGGATTGGTCTAGGAGGGGCCTAGTAAAGGTATAACTGAAAAGGCCTTCCTGAACTCGCATGGGTAGTGGGTGTGGAGAAAGGACGGCTTCAGACCTTAAAGATCAAGCAGATTCAGGGGGTGGGGGTGTCAAGTCCAACCTAGAACATTTTTTGAATATTTCTTTCCTTGAAACCCTATGGGATCAGTCATCTGTGTCTTGACAGCAAAATGACAACAAATAATGTATTAAACAGACAAAATGGAATTTGAGTGTACGTCCTGTTCCAATCCTGATTGAGAACCTGGAAATTTTTTATATGATATCATGCATACCAAAGTATGGCACATCCTTTAATTCACGGTGGCTTTTTAAAGCTGCTTAGTCTTGTTCGTGGGGTAGCAGACTGGAGTGGTGTCTGCTTTGCACAGGTAGCAGCCCAGTTTAAGCAAGGCAGAGGGCCTGCAAAGCCCCAGAGAGGAGTGTTTTGCCTCACTATTGTCACACTTCAGTCTGGCCCTGGGTAAGAGGAAGATCCCACTGAACCATCCCCTTTGACCTTCTCCTTGGAAGAGCCACTAATTAATAATTGGAAAGAAAGGTTTCATAACCGGGCTCCGAATTAGGGTAGGGTTCAGGTAGGATGTTTTACTTATTTATTAATTCATGTATACTCTGCCTTTTCCCCCCTAATAGGAACCCGAAGTGACTTACACCATTGTCTGCTTCTCCATTTTATCCTCACAACAACCCTGTGAGGTAGGTTAGATTGAAAGAATGACTGGGCCAAGGTCACCCAGTGAGTTTCCATGGCATGAGTAGGGATTCAAATCTGGTCTCCCAGATACTAGTCAGACTCTCTTGACCACTATATCACATTCTTAGACACATATTAGAAGACTCAGGTCCCACTAACATAGCCATATGCTATGATTTATATGTATCTCCCCACCCCCTTCTCTATAAACCATGACAGGAAGAGCCTATCAGTTATCTCACTGCTGTCAGACAGCTTCTCTTGTGCTGCTCCATCATGCTTTCAAGATGCATTTTCTGCACCATAATGGCTGGGGATTAAAGTACAATCCTAAAGGGAACTTAGAAAAGTGTAACTCTACTTAGTTCCACAAGCAGAAGGACAGTAGGAGAACAAAGCTCAAATGATGGAATACGTCTAAAAAAAAACCCAGCTGCATTCAGAAAACTAGAACACTGGAGAGAAAGTTTCTAACCTTTAGCTTCTCCCTGACAACCTACTTTTCTACATGCAGGGAACAGGTTGTTTTTAATGGAGGAGCATTCAGTCTTGTGAGTTGCCATCTGAAGTGATTTTATTTTTTGGCTTTTTATCTGCTATGTGTGAAAATTTAGCCTTAGAAGCAACCCAAGCACAGAGGTGGGGAGAGACAGAATTGGCAAACTTTACCAAGGCGCACAGCCCCCTGAGCTTCATGCTCATTGCCATGATCTGGTAGGATAGTACAGTGGTTAGAGGGTCAGACTAGTATCTGAGAGACACAGGTTCAAGTTCTCACTTTGCCATGGAAGTTCACCGGGTGACCTCGGCACAGTCATGTACTAACAACCTCATGGACCCTGATGGGGTGGGAAGGAGGCATAAAAAATGCTTTAAATAAATAAAATAAATAACCCACATCACAGGGCTTTTGTATGGATAAGATGGAGGAATGATGTAAGCCTCTGCAGTCCTATTGGGGAGAAAGGCAAGGTGTAAAGGAAGCAAAGTAAAATAAATATTAGTCCCATTTAGAAATAACACCGTGTTTTTTTCTTTCATTACTCATGAGATTGTATGTCTGGGATACTTAGATTCGAGTCCAGTAGCCCCTTAGGGATCAGCAAGGGTTTCAGGGTATAAGCTTTTGAGAGCCAAGGCTCCCTTTCTCAGACTGGGATGAAATATATGGTAGTGCTGGGGATGGTATAGTTTGTCCCATGCTCAGATTAATATTACTTGGATACAAAGAGCTGAGCAAAGTAGAACCACACAGTTCTTCTGGGAGGGAGTTCCAGGCATAAGAAGTAGCATGGGGGAGAGAGAAAGGGGGAGAGGCTTTGCTCCAATGCCATAATTTTTAAAAGCAATAGCAACCTTCTCCCCCCCCCTCCCTTCCCACACACAGAGCTCTAAAAACACAATGCACCAAGAACTGCTTCCTTGCCACTCCATTCCTTTGAATGGGGTTTGCATGAGAATGGCATTGAATGAGTTCCATCTCAGAGCAATTGGGGTACCTGCTCCTTTTTATTGAAACCCTAAACTGTTAACTTCGCTCTTGCTCCTTCCAAATCTCTAAGCCCTCCATTCACAAGCTGACTTTTATGCTAAGGGCCTCCTTTGGAAATACCCCTTTGATATGCAGCCTGGGGAGTCCCCTTTGAACCTCTGTGGGAAAAATAGGGGTCTACTGGTATCCTACAATTTATAGCTCTGTGAAAACCACCTCAAAATAGCCACTGGCCACAAGGTTGAGAAGAAAGAGTCAGGTTTTTCAAAGCAGGGCTTCAGCCAGTGAACTCTGGGCTGCCTTCGCAAACAGTGATTGTTTTCACTATAAGACCACATGTCATAAATCTGCAGACTGGTGTCGGAAGCACAAGTATCTGTCACAGGAACAGAGTCTCAAATGGTAACTGGTCTTGGGCTGCTTGTTAAATAAATAACTCCTTTCTCTCTCTTGACCCCCTTTTTTCCTTCATCTAAGGAGGGCCTTCAAGATCCAGTGTGGGCAAGACGGAAATTGGCTAGAAGGAGCCTGTGTCCCAGTGACCTGTGAACCTCCACCTTCCAAGTTCCACGGGTTGTACCATTGCACCAATGGCTTCCAGTTCAACAGTGAGTGCAGGATCAAGTGCGAGGAGGAGGACACCCAATCAGTGAGTCCCTTCCAACTGAATCCAAACAGTGTGTGATTTCTGAAAAATCCATACACATGCATAAACCACCTTTGGGGTAATAATACCTAGAAATGAGTGAGGTGCAGCAGGACTTTCAGAAAGCCTCAGCAATTGTTGTTTTTATGGAAGGGTGTATAACTGTGCAGGACCTACAGTTGCCAACCCCCAGGTGGTAACTGGGGATCTCCTGGGATTACAATTTATCTCCAGCTGACAGAGATCAGTTCACCTGGAGAAAATGACTGCTTTGGAAGGTGGACTCTGTGGCATTCTCACCCTCCTCAGTCTCCATCCCCAAATATCCAGGTTTTTCCCAACCTGGAGCTGGCAACCCCACACTGCAAACATGAAAACATACATTTCAATACTTAACTCAAAATATAAAATTACAAACTCTTCTTTTAGAAATGTAAATTTTTCAGGACTCATGGTGGCATAGAGAAAAGCTGAAAGCTCATAGGCTGTTGTGAACACTTTGCTATCAGAGGCAGTCTGATTGTGGTGGCTGTGTGTAAAGAGAGAGGGATAGTTTCCATATCTTGGAGGCTGCTTTCTCATAAATGGCCAAGCCCTGCATATCTATAACCCCACATGCCTAATTTCCCACAAGGTTCTATGTGCCCCAGCCCTCCATTCCAAACCACCACCAAATCAATTCTGGAAACACATTTGTTCATGCAAATATGCAAAATGAAATTTATGTTTTATATATTTAATTCCATGGTCTTCTCCCTCATGCTCACAACAAGGCATAGAGAGAGAATGGTTGGACCAAGGTCACATAGTAAGCTTCATGGCCAAGTAGGGATGAGGACCCAGTCTGTACCCAGAGCTCTCGGATGGGGTACATCCAAAGCTGTTAGAGACCAGTGACAGATCTTCAGTCTTTTGTCCCTTCTATTTTAGCTCAGTTGAGACCTCTGTCGCCCCTTGTGGTTTGGCTGAGATGGCTACTATTCTGTTTCATCCCTTTTTGGCAACGTGACAGTCACTGAGCACCTGATTCCACCAGGCTCTGAGTTTAGCAGGAACAAAACTTCCATTGACATCACCAGTATTACTCTCACAGCCTGAAGGCTCCTTGTTTTGGTGCCCTAATGGAGAGATCTATGATTATCTTGGGGAGCTGGGAATTGCCCCAAAGGGGAAAGCACATAAATACAGAAGCAAATGAGGGGAAAAAGACCTCACACGCTATTCATTATTTTACGGTGATGACGCCTCTTGCAAATGCATGTGTATAAGGCAAGGGCAGGGGAACAAAATAAAAAACAAGCCCAGTGTGTCTTTGGTGAAAGATCGTTGGCTGAAAGTTTGGATCAGCATTGCGTAAACTATTCGATGCGAATGTCTAAATTGCAAGGGAAGATTGGCTCTTAGTTGGGACATGATTTTGGGTAGGTTTTTTTCCTTTAAGTTTGCTTTTATAGAGGGCAAACATCAGCTTGGCTGTGAGATTTCTCCCGCCCCATGGCATTTATATCATGCAGTAGTTAACTTTATATGATATGTACCTTGGCACCCAAACCAGCACTTCACTCTCACTGGAGTCCAGTTTTCCCTTGGCTTGTGAAGAGGATTAAACCATTAGGGGCCTTAATAGACCTTGTTTCTGGCAGAAATAGGTGTGTTTCAGTTCGGTGAGCTTTGAGGTCTTTGCAAAGGACACATACCCTGAAAAAGTGCCACAGCTTCAATGGATGGGCAGTTCAAGCAAGGAGAAACTATCTAGCTGTATATTAGAGAGAAATAATTTGTCTAACATTACTCCCTAAATACATTGATTCATATTGGAGTTTGGAAGGGATTGTGCATATATGTACAGGTATCTTAAGATACCAAGACTGGATAGGAAAGAATTACCAAGCAAAATGATTTGTGCATGTGTGTGTTTAAATTCAGTGTTTATTACAAAAGCATATGGTCTACAATAATAAGGAGGATACAGGTAAATGAATATAACATGGAAAGATACCATGTATATAAAGGTAAAAAATAAGCTGTAATTGTTCCACTAGCATAGCATTGGTGGTGGAAAGTACCCTCAAGTCACAGCTGACTTATGGAAACCCTGTAGGGGTTTCAAGGCAAGAGACAAACAGAGGTGGTCTGCCATTACCTGCTTCTGCCTAGCAACCCTGGACTTTCTTGGTGGTCTCTCATTTGAGAACCAACCAGGACTGACTCTGCTTAGCTTGCAAGATTTGACGAGACTGGGCTAGCCTTGACCATCCAGGTTAGGGCAGTATCACATATTATAGATTATTAATTAAAAAGGACATTCAGTAGCTGCAAGCAAAAAGATGGAATACCTTGTAGATAATTGTAGTTTAGCTTCCTTTTCTTAGCAGTTATGATCATTGTTAGTGTGTGAATATCCCTTTGTCAAAAGAATTTTAGAAGTTCTTTTCATTGCTCTGGCTTCTTCCCATCTACCTATATATCTTCATCCCACTCTTCCTCCAAGGAGCTCATGACAGTGTACAGCATTCTTAGGGTTGCCAACCTCCAGGTGGGGAAAGGAGTTCTCCCAGAATTACAGCTGATCTCCAGGCTGTGAAGGTCTGTTCCCCTGGAGAAAATGGAAGCGTTGGAGGGTGGACTCTGCGACTGCATCCCTGCTGAGCTTCCTCCCCCCCCCAAACTCCACCCTCCTCAAGTTCTGCCACCAAACCTCCAGAAACCTCTCAATACAGAGTTGGCAACCCTAACTGTTCTACCTCCATTTTATTCTCACAACCACTTTGTCAGGTTGGTTGGGCTAAGGGAGAGTGGATGACCCAAGGTTGCACAGTGAGCTTCATGGGAATCTGAATCTGTGGCTCCTACCAAGTCTTTAAATATGAATTGTTCACAGAGCGTCTCTTTCCACTAATAAACTATTTCCATTCTGTTCACCATGAAGAGTTATGAAATTAAGTCATTTGTTTCTGGATTGACTACAGTAGTTGCAAAAAATATTTAGGAAAGCTAATTCAGCATCTGTTTTGGAGCAATTGACAACTGCTTTCTTTATTTCTAGAAATAGTCTAGATAGCAAGACTGTTTAACGTTGCCATCACATGTGATGCTGGGTGCCCAGAGTGTCTTAGCAAATCACTTTTAATGTCTCATATCAGTTAGAACTGGGTTTGCTTGGCCCTTAACTTGGCATTTTCTGTTGTGATGTTGTATATTCCATGTGGTTCAGAGGTCAGCATGTCAGACAAAGATCTGGTGAGACCCAGGCTGTGGTCAGACGTGCCTTTAGATCCGACTCAGCTGCGAATGCCTGATGGATCTAAAGGGCATGATCAGACAGCAACATCTGAGAAAGGTCTTGCAGCCATCAGCACCCTGTGCTGCCCCTCCACGGAAGCAGAGTTAAAAGACACCAAGGAAAGTCCAGTCCTAATGCTTGCCGACAGGCTACAGATGGACTTTCCGCAGTCTTATCGCTCAAGCACGGTCTCATGTTGTCGGGATGGTCTGCTCATTCCATCCTGACTCAGCACCTCCCCCCTTGCTTAGCAGTATGTGCATAACCACATACTCTATGGGGAACCCTCAGTGTGGAGGTGCGATTACTCATTTATGTAGATGGGAAACAAAAGGCAACCCCCACCCACTCAGTCAAATGTGCCATCTGATTGGGCAGCGACGGGCTCAGCCTGCAGCTACAGAGCATGTGTGATCATGCAACGCTTCCCCTCCGCACCAAATGGCATGTCTGACCACGGCCCCAGTATCAAATCCGCAATCTGCTATGGAACTTGCTGGGTAATCTTGGGATACTTACACCCCCTTGAACTAACCTACTTCTCAAGTTTGTTATAAGGATAAAAAAGGGAAGGTAGGGCTATGTGTGCTGCCCTGAGCCCCTTGGAGGTGGGATGAGATAAAAAATGAACTGGATAAGAAATGCACTTCTCAACTTCATGGGACTCTAAGCACTGATTCACAAGATGTTGACATGCTGACATCTTTAACAAAGCGGTATTAGCATCTCTGGATCAAACTAGATGTCATCCATTATTAGGATCTTTTAAAGGGCTAATAGCAACTGCTGATAGCCTAGCCTAGCCCAATCTCATCAACAGTTTACAAGCTAAGCAGGATTGGCCAAGGTTAGTACTTGGAATCCACTAAGGAAGACAACAGTTGCTCTGCAGAGGAAGGCAATGACAAACCACCTCTGCTCATCTCTTGTCTGAAAAACCCCATGGTCCCCGGGTTGCCATGAGTCAGTTGCAACTTTGCAAAACACATCATCATCATCAGGGGATATTTGTTTCTCTACCTATTGCATTTTTACCCCACCCTTCTTCCAAGATCCTCAGTACCTGTAACATTTCACAGTGCCACAAGCATTTTCAAAATGCAGAAGATTGTAGGAAAGTGCAAACTGGTGTGAAACTCTTGGAACAAACCGTTTTCTGTTTCATGAAATTCAATTCCACAACTGCAATATACACAGCAAATGAAAAATCTCAGGGAAGACTGTGAGTAATAGCAAGGATAGATTTTCTGTGACTGCAGTTGCTATACCTCTTCAAGTTTCTTGCTCAGCATTGGTATCAGCTCACAAAGCCTTAGCAGACATAATGAACCCCAGTCAGAGTTAATGGAGAAGGCAGGCAGTGTGGGATTTTGTGTGAAATTCTAACCATTGCATCACATTTTTCAGATTCAAATTCTCCCCGCCCCTGACCCTGTGGGGCACTACCATGGCAGCAGTCTTAATCACCCCCTTCCCCAGAGCTGTTTTTAACCTTTAAGCCGAAAGAGACTGTTGTCACAGACCTTTTGGGTTACCTGTGTTTTGACTTTCAGTCTTCTGTGGCAAAAGTGTTATGTGAAGGAGCTTTTCCCCATCTTCCTTCCTCACAATGGAGTTCCTCTAAGATTTACTGCACCTGAACATGGAGATCCCCTTTAGTCACACAGGCTAGTAGCAATTGATGGCCCAATGAATATGTCAATGCATGTCATATTAATGAATATTTCTAATCGCCTTCTAATTTCCATCTGTGTTAATGGCCATCGCTACACCCAGCAGAACCAAAGGGTCTCACAGTGCCATAATGGCTAATAGATCTATTGTGGCAAAGTGGGCCGCAGCCCTCATCATCATTTGGTGGTGGAAAGCATTTTCAAGTCATAGACGATTTACGGCAGCCCTGTAAGATTTTGCTTTTGCTTGCCTCTGTGTAGCATCCTTGGACTTCTTTGGTGGCTTCCCATCCAAGTCCTAACCAGGGCTGACCCAACTTAGCTGTTGAGGTCTGACAAGATCTGGCTAGCCTGGCCATCCAGGTCAGGGCCTTTGTCATTTATGTTGAAACAAATAGGCATTTGATGTGCAGAAATGTAGAGAAAGCATGTGCCACAGAAAACTTGTTAGTCTTCAAGGTGCTACAAGATACTTTGTTGTTTTGAATGCAGTGTAAGTAACACAGCTAACACTTCTGCAATGGGCACTTTTCCCTCTGTGGGCTACTTGGCGTGTTGTGGCAGAACCAAAAGAAGAGTCATCTGGTACCTTAAAATGCACAGAAGCAACAGGAGACTGATGGTGGAAGGGGATTTTATGACTTACATGTGATTGAAAGTTGCATCACGTTCCTCATTTGGAGCAAGTTTCTAAACAGTATAAAGTCCATTGGCATAGCTGTGAGATCAAGTCTACAGAGACAGCCATGTTTATTTGTTACAGCAGAAACAAAAGGTAGTCATACAGACACAGGGCCAAAGTAAATAGTAGAAATTATGGAATCACAGAGTTGGAAGGGGCCACACAGGCCATCTAGTCCAACCCATGCTCAATGTTCAGTTTAGAGCAAGACAATGTGATAAGACAATCCATCCAGAGAAGAGATAGTACATGTAAAAGACAACAGGCAGGCATTATACATGTGACAGTGAGAGATCCAGAGAGGTAAAATATTAATGGAAATACAGATTTTTTTTTTCCTGCTGGTGTGCCCAGCTGACCCTTAGGCTTTGTAACCTGTTTTCAGTCTTAATCTGTGCCTTGGAACATGCAGTGCAAAAATAAAGATTTCCTTTGGGCATAGGTACCATACCCTTCCGTGATCACTGGATACTAGCAATGGACCTTCACCAGTCTGGGTTTATGTTCTTTCAGGGCTGAAAGAGTGAATTCTGTGATGATTTGAGCCTTGTCACCCTCGTGGAATGACACACACACCCTGTTAGGGTGGCTAATGATGGACCTCAAGGAGATAGGACAGGCCATGGAAAAAATCATAAGCTGAGATGGGGGTGCTGTGGGGCCTTTAGTGCAAACTTCATGCATGGTCCTAATGGGTGGGGATTCTGTGAGTCAGATAGGCTACTAAGGGAGCAGACCTTTGGTGGAGTCTTTGGACAACCAAAGGTTGGGGAGGAGAAAAACATATATGGGGAAAGCTAACAAAGGAGTTACAAAGCTGCAGTGGCTCAAATGGTTAAGACGCTGAACTGCAGGCTGTGGAAGGTCAGTAGTTCAGCAGTTCGAGACCCGGGTGCCACATGATGGAGTGAACTCCCATCTCTAGTTCCAGCTCCTGCCAACCTAGCAGTTCGAAAGCAAGAAATTGCAAGTAGATAAATAGGTACCACTTCAGTGGGAAGGTAACAGGGTTCCGTGCGCCTTGGTGTTGAATTGTATAACTGTGTTCCGTGCGCCTTGGATTGAATTGTATGATAATTGTGAAGGGGATAGGAAAGTTAAATAACTGGGAGAGGGTTGTGGTAAAACAGGCCCTGCAAAGCACCTTGTTCTAATATGGGGAAAGAGTAATTTATTCAGCTGACATTGGTCTCTTGCTACTACATCTCAACGAATAGGCTGTATTCCACACACCCCTCAGCACAGGTGGGATTCGTTTCCATTGCCTCTATGGAGGCCATGTTTCCCACTCCCAGCCAGCTCTCCTTGCTGCCACAGCTGGGTGGTAGGATGGAAGTTTTGTGGGAAACAGAGGACACTTGGCATTGTTGGCAGTGCCAGGACATCATTTCCATTGTAACCTGGAAGTAATGTAATTGCGTTGGGTGACACTCTAGCGTGCTAGAGTATTGCCATTTTATTGGTCTGATTTATTTCTGTTTTTTTAATTTAGTGTGGTCATTATTTTGCTGGTTTTTTTAAAAAAAGACCCTTTTAAAAGATAGTCTTGTGTTTTATTTAATAACAGAAAGGTGGCGTAGAAGTACGCCCCCCCCACCAAATGAACGCCTAAGCCTACTTTCTTCTCTCCTCTTCCCAGGACCATGGGAACAATGTGATCCATTGCCGGAAGGACGGAACCTGGAGCAGCTCATTCCACCTCTGCAGGGGGATGCAAGGCCATTGCTCCCTTCCCAGTCAGCTGAACAGCGGGATCAAGCTGCAATGTCCGGCAGGTTACGGCATAGGTATGACAGTCGATGAGTTAAAGCTTGGTTTATTGTGCCAGGAAAGAGGGAAAGGGGAAGGAGCCCTTGAACCTGTCGTCCCCAGTCGGCTCTCCTTTGAAAACAAAAGGGATAATTAATCTCTTTTTAAAAGGCAAATCAGGCTTTCAGATGCCAGACCTCTGGATAATGTACAGTGCTCTCATGCCCTCTGACAACAGCCGAGCTTTCTTGGGGTCCTTGACAATGGCCCTCTGCAAGGTTAAACAGCTAGACGACAGCTAGTGTGAAAGAGCCAGAAAAAGAGCCCTGCTGGATCAGGCCAGACTTCCAGCTTGTACAATGGTCTGTTGCCAGCAGAGGCAAGCAGGCTGTTTCTGGGAAGGCCACTATCAGGGTGTGATGCAGCAGTCCTTATGCACTGATGCCCATCTGGGTGCACCCACCTGAAACATCCAAAAGCATCTGACTGCTTTCACACACATTGGATATCACTGTCAGTGCCCTTTTAATGAGCTTTAGCAATCATTTGCAGTTGGATTTACAGGAAAATGCAGTTGCAAACGATCACTAAAGAAGTACCTCACTAAATCCCTAAGCAGCTGATTCCACTGTTACTCAACTCGTACTGTAAAAAAGTTTTTCCTGATATCCAGCCGGTACCTTCCCTCCCTTAATTTAAAGGTCCTCTCCTCTGCTGCCAACACGAACAGCTCCCTGCCCTCCTCTAACTGACAGGCCTTCAAATACTTATAGAGAGCAATCGTGTCCCCTCTCAACCTCCTCTTCTCCAGACTAAACATTTCCAAGTCCCTCAGCCTTTCTTCATAAGGCTTGGTCTCCAGGCCCCCAATCATCCTCATTACTCTCCTCTGCACACACTCCATTCTGTCCACATCCTTTTTGAAGTAAGGCCTCCAGAACTGCACACAATACTCCAGGTGTGGCGTGGCCAATGCAGTGTACAGCAGGACTATGACATCTTGTGATTTGGATATTATGCCTCTGTTAATACACCCCAAGATTGTGTTAGCCTTTTTTGTCACTGCATCACACTGGATGCTCATATTGAACTTTCAGTCCACCCTTACCCCAAGATCCTGTTCAATCCACATGTCCTCAATCTCTCTGAATATGGGGGAAAGGAGAAATTCTTGGCCAGAATAATATCCATTATGGCAGACATCATCGGTCTCTCTTTCTGACTCCATAACGAGCAGATGAAAATCAGTACCCTGAAGCAATTAGTGTTGGACAAATACTGGAGAGACCAGGGTTCAAATCGCCTCTCACCCATAATTCTCACTGAGGGCCTTAAGCTAATTGCTCTATTTCAGCCGAACTCATCTTACACTGGACCAGAGTAAGGGCAGAACCATGTACACTGTCCATGTGTGATCTGGGAAGGTACAATGGGATAAAGATTTGGCAGATGGTATTGATGCAAGATAAATGTAAACCTCAGGATTGTTAGGTAAAGGTTTCCCTTGCTCGAAAGCCAATCAAATCCGACTCTAGGGGGTGGTGCTCATCTCCGTTTCCAGGCCGAAGAGCCAGCGCTGTCCAAAGACATTTCCGTGGTCATGTGGCCAGCATGACTAAACGCTGAGGCACATGGAATGCTGTTTCCTTCCCACCAAAGTGGTACCTGTTTATCTACTTGCAATTTCTTGCTTTTGAACTGCTAGGTTGGCAGGAGCTGGGGCTAGAGATGGGAGCTCACTCCATTACACAGCGCTAGGGTCTCGAACTGCTGAACTACAGACCTTCCAGTCTGCCGCTCAGTGTCTTCACCTCTAAGCCACCACGGCCCTGTCAGGACTGTTAGCCCAAGGCTTTTATGCCCAGATGTAGGTCCAGATTCAAATCCTCAATTAAGCTAGTTGTGCGACAGTGCAGTTGTGAGGTTCTGTCCTTTGCTTTGTATGTGTCAGAACCTGACATCTTTTCTCAGTTCCCTTCATCTGCTTGTTGAAGAGTGAGCTAAGTGGGTGATGGGATGATCAGATTCCTTGGCTTTACCATGTGGTTAAGTTAGCATTTGCTCCTCCCTCCTGTAGCATGAAGCTGCGAGAGTGGCTTATATCTGATGTGCTTGAACCCCTGCATGCATCATTTGCCATCGCACGTTACACTGAATTGGGGCTGAGACCTGCATTTTGCTTTCTCTGCTTCTCCTGTAGCATCCCAAAGTGGGGGAGAGGTGTGTTGCCTTGACCAGATGTCTCACAGTGTTGATTTGAGGATACAATGTATGCTGCCCTGATCCCCACAGAGGAAGGGTGGCCTAAAAATGGGGTAGATATGTAGGATGCCTTTGCACCCACTTTTGACTGTTTCTGGGTAGCATACAAAGCTACTCTTAAAAAAAAATTATAGGAACATCTATTTCAGGCCTCAAAGAGCTTCTGTACATTTTTTTTTCCTCTTGCAAATCTAAAGGTGTTTTCACAACTGACGCTGAAAAGACCTTTTAGTCTGGAATCCATCAGCTGCCAACATTAAAGCTGGATGGAAAGTGGAAGATGACCAACTTTAAAAGGAATGTATATTTTAATAACTTACTACATTTATAACCCCTACCCCCTTCTCCTTTGGAGCTCAAGGCGGAGTACATTGGGGGTTCCCAGGTGTTTTATCATCCAAACATTGACCAGATGTGGTTACTTCAGCAAGATTGCTGCATCTTTAGACTTTGGAACATGCCTTGAGATCCATGGCCATTCAGTATTTAAAAAGTACTGTGATATTGAAACATCTTATAATCTGTATCTGATGAAGAAAGCTTTGATTCTCGAAACCTTATACCCTGAAAATCTTGTTGGTCTCTAAGGTGCTCTTGAATTTAAAGCTAGTTCTCCTAAAACATTGCAGTTCAGTAGCATCCTTTTCTTTGGAATTCTGAGTCGTACAATTAAATCAAAAGTGTATCTCCCAGGTCCAGGCCAGGGTGAGAAGATGGTACGGTGCACTATTTGGCTTCTGGCTTATAAGCTGCTGCGATTTCTTGGGGGAGCTGCCCAATTCAGGCCCAGTTTGGGATCACTTTCACCTGAACTGTGGATTAGGGTTGGCAGCCAAGAACTGGCAATCAACTGGAGTATTTTGGCGATGGGGAACAGTGTTCCCTCTAAGCTGAGTTAGTGTGAGCTAGCTCAGTTTTTTAGCCTCCGGCTCACATATTTTTGTCTTAGCTCAGGAAGGAGGGCTCCAGAACAAACTAATTTATGCAGTAGCCAAATCGCTCGTTCACTGCCAGTTGCTCACAAAGTAGAAGTTTTGCTCACAAGACTCCACAGCTTAGAGGGAGCATTGATAGGGAGTAGCATTGTGCAATGTTGCAACGTGGCTTCTGCTTTGTACCCAGAAATGATGCCGTTTTGGATACAGACCAGAAATCACACTGCAGAGTTGCTCTCCCCCCTGAAATACTCCTGCTGGAGCAAAGGTCCCCAGTGGTGGCCTGAAGCTTGGGGGTGGGAGCCTACCCACTGTCCTGGACAAAATGGCAAGCCTATTGTGAACATGCACAAGGTTGTCATGTGCTGTGCATAATTAGCATGTGCAGGGCTCTTTTTGTAGAAAAAGCCCAGAAGGAACTCATTAGCATAATAGGCCATACCCAACAGCAGGAACTTATTAGCATATTGGACCACACCCCTGACAGCACAGCTTATTAGCACATTAGGCCGCACCCACATGTTACCAGAAGTGTGGTTATCTAGCCACACCCACCTTTTGCTTCTTATTCTGTTTACCTTGTTTGTTGTCAAAAACCAGGGCTTTTTTTGTAGCAGGAACTCCTTTGCATGTTAGGCCACACACCCCTAATGTAGCCAATCCTAATGAGTTTCTGCTGTTGGGTGTGGTCTATTATGCTAATGAGTTCCTGCTGGGCGTGGCCAACTTGGGAGCCAGCCGGAACTCCGTTCCTGTGCGTTCCTGCCCCAAAATAGCCCTGAGCATGTGGCTTCTGATTCTTGTGTGACTGATTGTGCTAATTAGAGACCTCTCACCTTCACAGAGTTTGACGTGGCCAAAAGCTACCTGATTCAGCCTAAGGCGAGGCTATCCACTATACCAGATCCCTGCAGTTCAATCCAAATCAAAGTGTATTACAATCCAAACATAAATGCACAGCAGAAAATTCAAGTCTGTTGTTTGTAACTATCAGTGTATAGGCTAAAAGGAACAATAACACAAGGTTACAAAGGCTGCGGTCACACGGAACATTAGCCATGCGAGTCAGACGGAAGACATGCGGGTTTTCCGGGCGCGATCTCACCGGCACATCTGGGAAGTGTAGCACTCCCGTGGCTCAAACGAGGCTTCCTGCCGAAACCACGCGGCAAAAAACTAGTACCTCCGAGGTACTAGTTTCCGGAAACCGCGGGGCAAGGGCGGGCGTCTGATCGCGTTTCCGGTGGCATCCGGCGCCCGCCCATGTTCCCTGGCGAAAAAGTTTTTTTTTCTTCAAGTCTTTGTGCATGCGCAAAAGCACACAACGGAGCATGCGCAGTCATGGTGTAAACAAAAAAAAAACCTTCCAGTTTGCCGCACCGCGCACTTCGTTTTTGCGCGCGGGATTGTCCTGCGATCGGCACCTCTCCTTTCCCACGGAACCTCCACAGTACCTCCACGGGAGGTCTGATCAGGTAACCGCGCCTTAGTTTGCCCCGGGGCAAACTGCCACACTTCCCCCCCGCAGTTTCCTGCCCGTGTGACCGGGACCAAAGTATAATCAACATTTTCAGATTTCAAAAAGAAAATTGTTACCCCCACCTGCCTCTGAATTTGGAGGTACCATTTGGGCCATCGTGACTAGCATTCACTGATGGACCTGTCCTTCATTAATTTGTCTAGTCCCCTTTTAAAGCCATCTAAGCTAGAGGCTATCACTACATCTCCTGGCAACGAATTCCACACATTTCTTCTGCATTGTGTGAAATAGTCTTCTATCTTGTCTTTCTGTAGCTACCATTCAGCAGCTTCATTTGATACCTCCATGTTTTTGTATTATGATTGAGGGCGTTCTCTCTCCTCCAGGGATTTTTTGGTAGAAAAAGCCCAGCAGAAAATCATTAGCATAATAGGCCACACCCAACAGCAGAACATATTAGCATATTAGACCACACCCCTAACATAACATCTCATTAGCATATTAGGCCACACCCATACATTCCCCTCGCTTGCTCTGGCTCCCTGCAGCTGCGGGGCAAGTCGGTCCTTGGACAGGCCTTGGAAGGCATGGGGAGGCATTTAAATGCCTCCCTGATCCTTCCAGAGCCCCCCCTGGCCCACCTGCCTCAGAGTTGCCGGGGGGGGGGTTGTTGCTCTCCAGGCCTTCCCTCTGTAGCCACGTACGCAGAGGTTTTGGCTGTAGTGGGTGTGGCCAACTCTGAAGCCAGCCGGAACTCTGTTCCTGTGCATTCCTGTTATTCCTGCCCTGTTCTCCTCACAATGCATAATTTTATATACTCCTATAACCTAATTATTTTGTAAACCTTTCTAAAGAATCCCCCCATTCTTTAGCCTTCCCTTATAGTGAATATTCTCCAACACTCTGATCATTTCATTTGCCTTTTACTTCATCTTTTCCAGCTCTGCAGTAGCCCTGTTCACATTTTACAGAGAATGTGCATACAATCCGCATACATTGTACACTTGATTTTTCAATATACATGCACTGAATAATTCTTGTTGTTACAATTAACACATGTATACTACATGTGATTTAAACCCCGCACTTATCTCTGGTTTCATTTGTAAAGTGGTGCATGGTCCGTTTCTTACAAACAGATGTTTGTATGCATGTCTTAGAAACACATGTGTAAGAGCAAACGTTCACTATAACATGTGAACAGGGCTATTATCCTTTTTTGAACTGGGGTGACAAGAGCGTCTCCCAAGCTATTCTCCAAATCCACATGTATTAATTTTACTTGAGAGGTGGAATATTGAGATTTTAGCAGACCCTGGATAGATGACCGGTGCAGGCACTCTTATTCTGGGCTGTAGGTTACCAGCTCAGCAGAGATGCATTGTGGGGAGAGCTCCAGCAGAAGAGGAGAGGGCTTCTGCCTGCCACACTCTTTTCTCCTTCACTGTCCTTTTGAACTCCCATATTTCCCTCTCATTCTGCTTCCTCATTATAGGCTAACTATTGTGAGGAACCAGGAGTTGCATGGCTCCTGTCCCAAGGGGGGTGAGGAACGCGACCTGGATGAGCTCACCACTCTGTAATGATGCCAATTATGGATCGTATATCAAAACAATTCAGGTCCGCTCCTCTGCTGAAGTGCAAATTGCACCGCTGGCGAGCAACGAGACGGCAGCAGCATCCGTTTGCCTGACAATGTGTTTTTCCCCCTGGAGACGAGGTGACCTTTAGATACTTACCAAGGGTTGTTGCACGGGGTAATTTTCTTTCGGGCCTTTTCCCCCCCTAGAGAAAGGATGCTGATTCCTTCTATACTGGCGGAGGTAGTGCAGGGGAAATAATCGGTAGCAATTCTGCTCCAGACAAGATAGTGTTGCCATTAGCTGTGCCAGTCCCCCCCCCCCCCCGCCGCCCCCGACAAATTCATACCTATAAAGATAGCAAAAAAATGTGGAGTGATACCAAAAGTCCATATTCCCTAACATTCAGGAGCAGGATGTGAAGACAGCTTCTCTGCCAGTCTCCCCCCCCCCCCCGCAACTGCTTTTTGCAGGTACACTGCCCCATGAATGGAGTTTCTGATTATTTATTGTGGATAATTCATGAATGGTAGATCTGTCTCATTTGACCCCCATGATAATTATGTAAGGCTGGACATCCCTTACACATTGTGGCAAAACCCTGTGAGTTTCTCAGCCGAGGAGGGTTTTAAAGCAAGCCGTTCTAAGTGTAAGTCTGAGCAATTTGTGATGTGTTCTGTATTTATGCTATAGCTTCACCGCATCAAGTGTTCCCTTCTGCATTTTTCTGATGACCCCCAATGTATTCAATGAGTCACAGAATCATAGCGTTGGATGGGATTTCCAGGGTCATCTAGTCCAAACCCCTGTACAATGCAGGAAATTCACAACTACCTCCCCCCACACACCTCATTGACCCCTGCTCCATGCCCAGAAGATGGCAAAAAAACACCACCCTTCAGGATCCTTGGCCAAATTGGCCAAGAGAAAATTGTTTCCTGACCCCAGAATGACAATCAGCATTTCCCTGGGCCTGTAAGAAAGGGCCACGAGAATTAAGCACTGCTGCAACCCTTCCTGCCCTCCCTCTCATGATCTGCCTTGTTTCTATGGATGTGCACTTCTGGATATGTATGTAAAAATATATATATTCTGCACATATACATATTCTGCACAAAATACATACTCTGCATATATTGTAATGTATGCTTTCATGATAACATATATCCAAATGCATTATCCCCCCACCCCCAAAATCTGGTACACATCTGTAGAAAAGAAACCAAAAGGATACACATCCAGTTCTTCAGCATGGGCATCTCAGATTGGAACAGCATATTCCAGGGAGAATTCCTAGCAGAGAGGAACTCAGAATCATCCCAAGCTAGGTCTGAGTCCTACATGCTATCCCACAGACTGAAAGAACATTTTGATGCCCATGCGTGCCATGTTTATCCTGCCATAGAGCCTGATGCTATGCTGGCTTCTCAGAGCAACTTTGGGATGAGGAAGTCTGAACAGGTTTCATGGACCCTGTTTCTGGTCTTCTCCTGTGAGAAAGGAAACTGCTAGTGACCCGGTGTAACTGCTTGCAAGCGAAACCCTCATTTTTCATCCTTATGGCCGCTTTCTGTCGGATCCGTACCCTATCCCTATTAAGATGAGCGTTCAGCAGTAATGTATCGGAGCTCTTGGAAGACACAACTCTAAGCCCTGGGGGTGTTGTAGCACTGCCTTGCACCCCCCCTGGGAAATCTGCTCTCGCAATGGCACAGCTGTGAGGAACGTGTCATTAAGGAGCTCTGAACTCCAATCAGTGTTGGAAACAAGAAGGGGAGGGGGAGCAGATACTTCTGGCTTATAACTAGCCCTCGCCTGGTGCTTGCGGTAACACCAGTGGATTGTTATGGGCACCGCAGTCTACAGTTTTCCCATTATTCCTGCACAGTTGAGTCAAATGGACAAATTGGATTTTCTGTTGTGTTAAAGATGAAGTGGAGGGAGGCTTCTCTTTCCAGAGATTTTCTGTGTGTGTGTGTATGCACGCGTGTGTGTGGGGGATGTGGACACACATGGCAACTGATTCCATTAATATACAATGGCAGAATTTTGTTAATTGTATGGGCAGTATATTATAAACAGCTGTTGCTCATTCACTCCCACAAGATGGAAAACACAAAATAGGTGTGTGTGTGTGGGGGGGGTGATAAGTAGGAGTCTTTTCAGTGGACGAATTTTCATTCTTGCCAAGAATGAAAGGTTTAGAAACAGATACATTTTGGCCCCTTGCCTAGAGCCTTCTAGCCTTGCTGCAAGCCTTAATGTGCAAAGAGGGCCGCACAGTTAAAATCCGCACATGCTCCTCACCCAGTTTTGCAGGCAGTATTCTGTTACTTATGGCAGTCCTTCCAGCTTGGGTGAGCCGGAGGGCTGAACAGATTTCCCTTCTGCCATTCCTTTATTATTCTCTGACATACATTCCGCTTCTCCCGAATTGTTTTATAACTTGGAGAATTTCTAAAATAAATCCAGCTGTTGGAGCAAATACAATACACTGTACAAATTCCTTTTGTGCATTTGCATCTTGTCCCCACACACACATCGATTACCATTGTTCATGTGTGCACCGATGTGATTGTCTCAGTGCTTGCATCAACATTATTTTTGTGTGGTGTTTTGCTAAAATACACCAGTGTGCATGCGTATTAGTCAGACAGTGCAAAAAGAAAAAAGGAATCATGTTACAGCCACACGTATGATCACATCTGAGGATGAGTTTTATCAGTTTGCACTTGGTTGATGTTGTGGAGTTGGGGAGACAAAAAAGAACTTATGGAATTGACACTGCAGGGATTTATATGAGCCTGCTTTGGCTGGGAGGGCGGGGTATAAATGAAACAAATAAATAAAATAAATAATAAAATGAAGTTCCCAGAAGGATGGGAATGTGGAGGATTCCTAACATTGGAAATCAGACCAGGTAATTCAGAACTCCAAAATTCAGGGTGCAACTTGGCCAAGGAGAGTACTGGAAACATCTCTAGTAAGCCATACTATGTCTCAATTTGGCAAAAAGATGTATGAAATGAATTGGTTGATGTGTAATGTCTCTCTCCCTCTCTCCCCCCCCTCATTTACTATGAAGGAGCTGAGTGTATCACATCATGCCCTGACCATCATGAGCCCATCCTGTTGCGTGCCAATGAGACATTACAAGACATCCAGCACTGGATGAACCCTCCAAGAGTGAAGGTAAATTGCTAGAATGTACATGATTCAGTGCTAATAACTGAATTTGGAATTGACTTCATAGCTTTCTTTGCTCAAAGAGCCATTGGGTAGCTTAAACTGGTATCACATTTGGACACCTGTAAAAATGGGGGGGGGGGGGGCTCCATCCCTGTCCTAGACTTAACAGGGTTGTTGGAGCCCTGTAGAAATTTATTTTATCCAGTGAAAAACAATTTTTAAAAATCATTTAATAGATGACATTTTAGCATGTGGAACTCCTATAGCCAATGGCTTTTCGATGCACAGGCCTGTTAATCTTGGATCTGTTAGTTTGTTATCTATCCCCAAATTTTAACTGCCTGGGTCATAGAGGTAGCAGCAGCTCGTATTCAGGTTGCTCATCAGTCAGTTTGGTATAGTGGTTAGGAGCGTAGACTCTAATCTGGGAGAACCAGGTTTGATTCCCCACTTCTCCACATGCAGCTGCTGGCATGACCTTGGGTTAGTCATAGTTCTCTCAGACCTGTTCTGGAAAGAGCAGTTCTTGAAAGAGCTCTCTCAGTCCCACCTACCTCACAGGGTGTCTGTTGTGGGGAGGGGAAGGGAATGAAGATTGTAAACTGCTCTGAGACTCCTGTGGGTAGTGAAGGGCAGGGTATAAATCCAATCTCTTCTCATCTTCTTCCCCACATGGGTTAAATTTAGGGATGGGAGCAAAATCTGATTACAGAAACGATACAAGGCAATAAGTGTTGTGACATTATAGTTACTATAGCAGCATGAATTTACATATGCAACAGCTACCTTCCTTGTATGCATGAGTAAGGCGGGAGATGTTTTATGCAGATGCATGATAAGAAAAGTTTGAGATCTTAATGTACAGGACCGCTGGGGGGCAATGTGGCTGGGGGGCAATGTGGGCAAGACATTATCAACATGCTAGCATCTCTGCTGGCTAAAACCCAGAAGTGATGTCACCAAGACTTTAGGATCAGCAAAATCTTAGTGCATCACTGATGTCACGCCCAGAGCTGCCAGAGATGTTGACACATCAAAGCCATTTCTGTTTCCCAAACCTTGCTCCTCAGAGTCTCCTGGGCATTCCAGCTATGAGCTGGCAGCCTTAGGCCAGGTTGTCACTGGGATGATTAACATGTGCCTGGACTGTTCCATTGCAGGTTGCAGATGATGTGGTTGAGTGCTCCTCTGCACTAAAAAGCCCTGTGTCGGGTAGGGAGAAGGGATTTATCTTAGCCTTCTTCCTGGCATGCTAGTGTTCAGTGTGCAGTGTTCCTTTCCTACCAATATGGAAGAATATTCAATAATGTGAGCCTCCACTTGTGGACTGAAGGGGGAAGGGGTTGCCCAAGGTCATCCAGCAGCTGCAAGTGGAGAAATGGGGAATCAAACCCGGTTCTCCCAGATTAGAGTCCATGCACTTAACCACTACACCAAACTGGCTCTCAGCTTACTTACTGTTATTTTTGTATGGATGATTGATTCATTTATCATCAACAAGGATCGTGGATAAGTAGATACTCCTAACTATTTCCATGGTTACTTCTCTAAAATTTTATATCAGCCAGAGAGGCCCTGCTTCAAATTCTAATATGTGAGGAGGCTTGGGTAGCCTCTGTATGTAGCAGGGACTTTAGTGTGGTTTCCCCATTGGAATGCTGTCCCTCAAGCACTCTGCCAGGCTTTGTGTTTGCAAAGGTTTCATAAGAGAATGAAAAATTCTCTGGGTTTTTTTTTTTTTTTTGATTTGGATGATGTAACTTGTATGTATGTTTAATTTTGTTGCTGTTTTCTGTCTGTTGCTGTTTCAACTGGGTGAAAATCAGCCTGTCAATATCATTAAATGACTGAATTAATTAATTAATTAGGGACTTGTACTGCAGAGACATGAGATCTGTCTTGGTCATGAAGTTCACTGGGTAACCTTGGGCCAGGTATTTTTGCTGAGCCTAACCTACTTTACAGGATTCTTCTAGGATTAAACAGAGTAGCCCCCATGTACCCCACTGTTGAGTCTGATGTAGGATAAATCTGCAAAATTTAGTAATGTATCAAACCTATCTTCATTTGAGAGTCCTAGGTGCTTGATTCTCCAACCCCCTGCCATTCCTTTCCCTGCACCATGGTTCTCTAGACTTCCTTTGGGTTGCTAAGTTTGTTTGAGATGTTTTGCCACTGATTCGGCTGCTGAGTGGGGCGTATGAGCGCACACACCCCTGACGTACATCTGGAATGTTCATAGTGTGGCCATTGGAGTAATTGTTGTTTTTTGAGAGAACAAAGCTAGAGATGGGGAGAATGTCATTGGCCAGCAACAATAACACCCCCCCTCCCCCCTTTCCACGTCCCGCTGTCACTCTTAGCTTGTCTTCACTCACTTCTTAGCCAAGCCCAAACCAGCACATGAAAACTTCCTTATCTCTATATTAGGGGCTGTTTCTCACCATCTCTTTCCTGAACTGTAGGCTTTCAAGTGTTTTTATAATTTGCTGTGAAATAAAAACCCCGGCTTGAAAGAGCATGGCTTGGCCTCCCCCATGCTGTCCTCCTTTATTGATGCCGTAGCTTGGAGGGAGCTGTAATGGGTTTTATACCTGTGTATCCCTGGAGGGCTCATTAGGTAGCCAGGGGGGAAATAACTTGGTAGTAAAAGAGAATGGCAGCCAGAGTTGGGGGGGGCATAGGGAGGATGATGTGTTCCAGGAATACATGGGGGGGGGGAGAACACACACACACATACACAAGGGTCGGACAACAAGAACAGATTTGCAGAAATTTGCAATCAGGTTAATACGCTATGAATATTTTCTAATTTTGATACTTGTATCTCAAAAACAGCATGTCCTATGGAGATAACCAAATTTAAGAATGATTTCAAATTTTTCATACCTGCTGTTTTGGCTCAAGAGTCCCTATTTTGGTTTTTCTTCTCGCTTGTGCAGATTGAGGGATTTTTGTGCAATTTCCTCCGTCTGCACACATAATTTTCCCGGATTTCTTATGCATCAGTAAATCAGCATTATTCATGATGTGTATAATGTACACATTGGTGACATACGTTGTAATATAAATACCGTATAGATTGCTTATAGAAACGTTGTGCAGATACCATACAAATAAAACCACAGAACCAAGAGTGACAAGTGGAACTGCTGACAAAAATATACACAGATGTAAAAAGTAATGTAACGGGGAACATTCATTTGTCCCGAAAGCAAACTATTAGAAAATATGCATTATTTCAGTTCTGTTCAATATCCCTTCTTGACCTCTGGCTAGGACTTCTTTCCTGCTCCATCTTCTGTCTGTGCCCCTGCTGCATTTAGCTTCATTCAGACTGCCATTAGTCCAGTTGGATATGGTAGTTTGCTTGGTTTTTGTTCACAAGAGTCCTGAAGGCTCTGTGGACAAGAACTCTGTATCAGCTATGCAATGGGAGTTTTCTGCCAGTTGCACAAGGCCCCTGTTCTGCTTATGATCACAGCATGCAGAGGAAAGCAGCCTCAGCCTTTCTTCCTTGTGTCTTCAAATTGCCCCACGAGGCACATATAAGCTCTGTTGTGAAAATTACATGTAGTGGTCACACGGTGTGCCAAGAGCAACTCCCAAGGGTGGTTCGATGGCATGAAAACAGCACAGGGTGAAGGTTGTGGGCCTAGCTACAGGAGACATGTGACACAACTTGAGTTGGGGGTCTCCCAACCCAACTTGCAGGCACACATTCCTTCAGGGGACTCACCTTAAAGAACGGTCCATCACTAGGTGCAGCTCCAAGCACTGTGTGGGGAGAAGGAGGAGTTTCAGCCTTCCCTCCCACATGCCATTTTCACCAGAGAAAACGGCCATAGAGAAGCCTGTTTGTCCTGCTGTTAGGTTCCATATGCCCTGGGATCGTGTGACTGAGGATACATGAAGCCCAAGAAAGGGGCAAGAAGGGCCTCCCACATCCATATCCTCTGGTGAAAACAGCTCTGGAGGGAAAGCTTAAGTCCCTCCTCCTATGCAGTGTTCAGAGCTGCACTGAGTGATAGCGTGCTTTCGGAGGTGATTCTCCCAAAGACCTCCAACCTGACTCGAGTCATGTATCTCATCACATGTAGTTTGGCCTTGAAACAGAGTTGCCAACTCAAGGGTGGGAAACTCCTGGGGATTTGGGGGGGTGGAGCCTGGGCACAGTGAGGTTCAGGGAGGAGAGGGACCCCTGCAGGGTATAATGCCATAAAGTCCACCCTCCAAAGCTGCCATTTCCTCCGGGGGAACTGATCACTGTTGTTTGGAGATCAGTTGTAATTCTGGGAGATGGTCCAGACCCCTCCTGGAGACTGGCAAGCTTACCTTGAAGCCACTTCTCCGCATTCACCAGAAAGCAGAAAAGGATTACAGCCTTTATTGTACTCAAAGCTTTTCAAATATGTAAAATCTGTGTCCAGAAGCTAAGTATTCTGATGACTCACGTGAAGAACAGAGCTTGTTTTCCTCAACTCTTCAAAGATGCGGATCCATAGAGCAAGCTCACAGCTACTGAAAACGGTCTCTTCCTGGCCCTGTTGCCTGTTTGGCAGTGTGCATGCACCACTGGCAGACTTTTGGATTGACTTCAGCCTGTGGGCTCATACAGTGAGCCAAGACCGCTGATCTTCTCAATTAGGGGTACCTGAGCCAATTCAAGGGAAACCCAGTTTACCCTGGTGTGCATGCACATACCTGATATAAACTTGTGAGAGTCCTTGTTTATCTAAAATATTTATGCCCCTCCTGATCAATACTCCCTTGAGGCAGCTTCCATGCAAGGCTAAAAATACAATGCATAAAACTAAAAAAGAACAGACACAAATTAAAACCCAAAGACCAAGACACAAAACAGACGTTACTAACTGCGTGAGAACAGATTTCCCAAATCAAAAGCCCAGCTGTTAAAAGGTATTAAATATTCACCTCTCCCAAACTGAGAGTAAACCAGAGAGTAATAAAACAAAAATCGATGCTAGACGGAGGGCAGTGAG